TCATAAGAGAGGTCTTTAAGTATGCTGAACAGGCTTAACGCTTTTACTTCCAAACAAGCCAATCAAAGTCTCCATAGATATCATGAATGAGATTGGATCGTGCCTTTCGTGGAGTACTACACACCCTGGTGCAAGCCGCAGCAGATGCCTTAGAGAAGAAGTTCGCTTTTGTGGTACATCTACGATGGTGTACAACAGGAAGTACTTAAAGAATGGGCAATGTACCATTCAAGAATTGGAGTGGTAAAGTTTGGCCAGATAGGGTCTTCGAAAAGGAAGGGGGAGAGAAGAGAGGAAGAGAAAAGAGAGAAGGAGAAAGAGAAGAAAAGGAAGGTATTTTCGTCTTCACACTATTTATACCATGTTAGTTAGCCGATTTTACTAACAGATTTAATTATGAGTGAGAAAGTGTCTTTTTGAAACTCTTCAAGTGGGAAAGTATCTTTAGGCCTACCTGGGGTGGGAAAATGCCATTCTTCTTCCTTTTAACTGATTTGGGGCCTACCTCATGTAAGTGGAGATAGGGTTGTCAGACGAGCCAATTAGTTTCATGAGCTGGCTCACCCCAGCTTATCTGAGCTCGTTTTATGGCTCGGCTTGAACTTAATCGAGTCACCTCAGCTCTAGCTCACTATTAAAAGGAGTCGAGTTCGATTAAGAGGGGCCCAACTCGATAGGCTCGCGAGCCTGAGGTGGCTTGCATAAGTAAGGTTACTTTTGTGAGTTTTAAAACTTTGGGGGCTGAAGTGTTATCTTCAATTTTAAAAATTGTAAAAACTATATTTAACCCCCCAATGTAATTAGTTGTAAAACAGGAAGTTAACCCCCAAATAAACCTTCCCAAATTGAAATACCTACCTTAAATCGTGAAATCTATAAATCCCTCATCGTGAAATCTATAATCCCTCATCGTGAAATCTCGCCACATTTTCTGTTCTTCTTGCCGTCGAAGACCCACAGACGTCAACGCCAATCGATTGACAATATTCACGAGTGCTTCACACTGCAGACTTTCACGCTGACACACGCTCGAATTTAGCCATGAAACTACTTCTTCAATTTCTAGCTTTATGCTTTAGCCATGGGTTCTACAAAGAGGTGAGAAATAATTTTCCCACTACCAAGTATGAAGCGATCTACTATCCTACCTACCTAAGAGGCTAGTTCGATATGCTAAAATTGAGGAACTTATTACCCATTGGGTGCTTATGTATGAGCATCTATTTATGGTTATGGAGGAAGAGGGATTGAACAACATGTAAAGTATGTGATTCCAATGGAGTTGGATTCATGTAATACCTCAAAAATGATTGAGTGAAGGTATACGAAAATGAGAAGCAAAGTTGAAGCAATGTTGAAGAGTGTTAGAATCAGTTCGACCACAGATCTATGGAATTCAGGCATCGAAGACGAAGTATATAATGTTGATTGGGTCATTGGATCAATGATATTGGAAGTTGAATAGACGGTCCTCAACTTTGTTCTTTTCCTCCTCCTCGTAACGTGTCGACATCTGATGCCATTTACAAGTGCCTGATGGATTGGAAAATTGAAAGTACTGTCCACACATCTCAATGGACCTCTCCAATGCTACAATTTTGGCAATGTGTTGTCAATTAAGTCTCAGGGAAATTCCAAGTTACGGGGAAGCTCATTTGTAGGGGCAATTGTTATGAAGCATGTTGTACACATCTTGAACCTGGTTGTTCAGATGGTTTTATCAATTAGACAATCACTGACGACATCCATGATAGCGTGTCATATGTCAATGCCACGAAGAGTCGACTAAAGGTTTTTCCAAAGATTATTCAACAGCTTTGATTGCCGTTTTGAAAGCTTATTCTTCATTGTAAACACGTGGAATTCAACATACGAAATGTTGGCAACGACAACTAAGTTCAAACATTTTTCCAAGATGAAAGAAAGGGATTTAAGTTATACTTACTCCCCTAAGAGATGGGAGAAAGTACAAAAAGTTTGTGAAAGTTTTAAAAGTTTTTAGTGGTGCGATCAATTCATTTCATGGAGGTTATCAAAAGTATATGTTCTAAGCAGTTTGTCTAATCAAAATTTGTTGGATAAAAGAGTGAAGATTAAGATGATTTTATTAGAAACATGGTTAGGAAAATGAAAGAGAAGTTTGATAAATATTGGGGGTAATGTATCTACTTATGGTTGTGGTTGCTGTATTGGACCCTAGGTTGAAAATGAGGGTGATTCAGTGGTCATTCCCTAAGATGTTAACCATAAAGCACGGGAAATACGGTTATTGTTCATGATGCATTGTATGAGATATATGGGAGTATGTTTGATGCTAGTAAAGCATCTACTGCTGCCCACACTTCTACATGAGTAGGAAAGAACTTTAGGTTGTTGGTGAGGGGCAGGAGTAGTGGAAAACGGGGAGGATGTTGGGATGATTCTACTAATTTTTGGACGTAGTTGAGACTGTTGAGCCTAGTAATCTAGTTAAACTGTTATATAGGAGAGGGATGCCATAAATGTGTGGGGAACCTGATGCATTTGATGCTTTACAGTGGTGGAAGTACCATTTTGTCTACCCTGGCTTGTGAGATATTAACCATCCCTATCACTACGGTTCTTCTGAGTCACTTTACGTGTCAAAAGTAGGGTAATTGACACTTATCGGTCTCTTCGTCTCTTGACACGGCGAACCATCCCTATCACTATGGTTGCTTCTAAGTTTGCTTTCAACCAAAAGTAGGGTAATTGACACTTTCGGTACTCCTGACATGATGAAGATGCTCTTATGTGATGTGATTAGTGTCGCTCTTTGATGGGGTGAAGAAAGGGTGCAAAGTAGATGATATTGATATAGTTTTGGTTTAATCAATAATTACAGTAACTTTATTCTAAACTAAACTTTAATTTTTCTTCTTTTTAATTTCAGGCAGAGCAGCAACCGTTGGAGATTAAACTTCCTATCCCGTAAGTTCTTGGGGTTTAGTACATGGTTTGGCTGTGGCAGTAGGCATGGCAGGTCTGTTGATTCATTTTTGTTTGGTTAATGATCATGCATAGATTAAAATGTGAGTACATAAACCACATGGAAGCAGCAGGATTTCTTATTCATCTAATTTTACTTTCAGTTTTATAGCCAATTAATTAGAAGATTTATATAAAAATAAACTTACTAAATTGATGTTTGCAGCCCTAGGAAACTGGTGGTTTCGGTAGAAGACGGCCGATGTACGCTACCTATATTTGATGAATGGACAACTATATTTTGAGGTTGGGCCTGTATTTTGATGTATAGTTAGCTAGATAGTTAAGTTGTTACTTACAGCCTCAAAAATCACATTTTTTTACTCAAACATTAATTAATCTCAAGTGAACTAAACTAAAAATTTAGTTCAATAACTTAATATGTCTTACAAAACTAGCATGATAAATATATGAATGTTCACAACATAGCTATTTTTTGTATATTGTCATTTACAATAGTTGTGTATGCAAAATTGTGTAATAAAAACAATGCTGGTGAAAAAAAAATTAGGCAGGACTAGAATTGGAACGGGTCAAACCAACCTTGACCGAGCATGGTTAGGCTCGCTCGAGCTCGAGCCACCCATAATGAGCTTGAGCTCGAACAACACATGTTCATGAGCTCGACAGCTCCAGCTCGATCGGCAAAATACTCGGCTCGCTCGGCTCGATCACAGCCTAGTGAGAGACGGACAATGTCATTATAAGTGGACCATAGATGATATTATAACCTATAAATGCATATGGACTTGGAAAGCAAGAAACAAATATCTCCTATGTTTAAGTCAAATTTTATGAAAAAATTTGTAGTGTGTTTGTTTTTTGTGCGATAGATGAGGTGTGCTATGACCAACTGATAACAAGAAACTGATAAAATAAGAAAATAAATAAATGGGAACTAAGAATCAAGATTAAAACCAAAGTTGTGATATCTTCGATTTTGTCACATTATATATAGTTATGAATGTAAAAGTTTAAGATTCATTTATAAAACTTGATCCCCCTAAACTTCTATAATTAATTTCTTACTGATTAATTTATGCATGTGTTAACACGATTTGTGAGTAATTTAATTTATTAACTAATTACTACATGCATGAATGAATCGATATATGTATTCTACATTCACTCGTATGTCGAAACATATACTATGTTTACATTTTATGTAACAGTAAAATTAAAATTATTGTCACCTTGCTTTCAATTATATGGTTCAGATTAATTAATTAGGTTGACCACCATTATGATAAAGTATATTACAAATATGCTACAAGCAATGATGTTGCAATTAAAGTCCTCAGGGAAAATTTCCAAGTTACGGGGAAGCTCATTTGTAGGGGCAAATTGTTTCATGCGAGATGTTGTACACACATCTTGAACCTGGTTGTTCAAGATTGTCTTTATCAAATCAGACATATCATTGACGACATCTATGATAAAGTGTCATATATCAATGCCTCAAAGAGTCAACTTAAGGTTTTTCCAAAGATTATTCAACAGCTTTGATTGCCATTTTGAAAGTTTATTCTTCATTGTAAAACATGGTGGAATTTAACATACGAAATGTTGGCAACGACAATTAAGTTCAAACATGTTTTTCCAAGATTGAAAGAAAGGGATCTAAGTTATCATTATTGTCCCCAAGAAGATGATTGGGAGAAAGTACATAAAGTTTGTGAAATTTTAAAATTTTTTAGTGGTGCGATTAATCTCATTTCATGGAGTGATTATACAACAACCAATTTATTTCTAAAGCAAGTTTGTCTAATTAAAATTATGTTAAGATAAAAAGAGTGAATACTATAAGACTTACCAACATGCATGCCTCTCCATCAATTATATGGATGATGAATATTATTAGAATCATTATTGTAACACAAATGATATTTATATCTTGTATTTTTGATACGTAATTAGAGTATGCCAAAAAAACCAAAAAACTTCAGTTATCATTGCGAAGGAGTAGGTGAAAGCTCAAAAAAGTAAGGCATTGTTTGAGAGTTCGAAAATAAAAAATTATTGAATTGGAATTGGAAATTCAGTTCCGTGACTCAAGGCAATTATAGAACATTCAAGGAAGTTGCGCTGATAACTACTGAATGACAGTTAAAAATCGGAGCATCATTGCAAACGACCAGCAAATTCACAAGTGAACTTTGAGCTGTGCGTTGGATTCAAGTGGTTCATTTTGCATCAACAGATAGAAATTAATTTCCAGCTTCCTCATCAGCAAGACACCATGTCCGATGGAGGCACACTACTGTCTGATATCCCCACCACCACGCTTACCAGAGCTCAAAGGCGGTGGCGCAAGGCCTATTTGACAATCTATTCTACCCGGATGATGCTTTCTCTCATATCCAAAAGTCGACAAGAATCGGAGAAAAGTCCTCCTCGTTACCCTGTCCTTGAGATTCAACCTACCGTTTCTCAAAACCAGTTCGTGCTCAACACAAAACTAATGTTCGAGAACAAAGACTGGATGCATCTGCATGTTCTTGGGGGAGTTGAAGGTGTGGCCACCGCTCTGGGAGTAAGTTCCGACAATGGAATCAGCGGCAGCAAGGATGATACTACTAGGAGGTCTCAAATTTTTGGTACTAACTCCTACCATAAGCCACCTCCAAAAGGCTTTCGCTATTTCCTGCTTGGTGCTTTTAAAGACACCGCCATACATCTTCTTCTAGTATGGGCAGCCCTGGCTCTTGCTTTTGGAATTAAACAACATGGGGTGGAAGAAGGTTGGTATGAAGGTGGAAGTATTATTGTTGCTGTCCTTTTGATGTTTGCTCTCTCCGCGGTCATCAACTTGATAGTGGAAACTCAAAGTAACGAACGCAAAGAGTTGAGTATCAATATCAAAGTTGAAGTTGTTAGAGATGCTCGGCACCAAAAAGCCTCCTTATTTGACCTTGTAGTTGGAGATGTTGTGCTCCTGAGATCTGGTGATCAGATTCCAGCTGATGGGCTGTTTTTGAAAGGGTATCGTTTGGAGGTCGACGAGTCAAGCATGACAGGAGACAGTGCCTTTGTCGAAGTCAACTGTAACCATAATCCTTTTCTGTTATCTGGCACAAAAGTAGTAGATGGCTATGGTCAGATGCTCGTGGTGTCCGTGGGAATGAACACTAAATGGGGTCGAAGGATGAGTTCGATAGCAGATGGTCAATCCACTGAAAAAACTCAATTTCAAGCTCGGCTTGACAAACTAATTTGCTCCATTGAAAAATTAGGCTTCTCATTGGCTTTTCTGATTCTTGCATATCTACTTTTTAACTACTTCACTGGGAAAACAAAAGATAAGAATGGAAATAAGGAGTATAATGGTAGTAAAACAGATTTAGATGCTATTTTCAAATCTGTTGCACACATTCTTATGGCCACGGTTGCCACTGTGGTAGCGGTAATTCCATCAGGTTTACCAGTGGCAGTAACTCTCACGCTTGCTTATTCCATGAAGAGAATGATGGCTGATAAAGCAATGGTAAAGAAACTTTCGGGTTACGAAAAAACGAGCTCAGCCACAGTTGTTTGTACTGCGAAAACAGGCATTTTGACATTCAATCAGATGAAAGTGACTGAGTTTTGGCTTGGCCAAGAATCCATTGAGAAAGATTCTCCTAATATGGTTGCCTCAAATGTTCGTGAACTATTCTACCAAGCAGTTGGCTTGAACACAACTGGTGGTGCTTACAAATCTGTTTCAGGATCTGTACTTGAATTTTATGGCAGTCCAACAGAGAAAGCAATTCTTTCGTGGGCTACCGAAGAATTGGCTATGAACATGGAAAAAGTGAAGCAAAAGTACACTATTCTCCAGGTTGAAACCTTCAACTCTTATAAAAAACGCAGTGGGGTTTCAATTAGGAAAACAGATGATAACACAATTCATGTACACTGGAAAGGAGCTGCTGAGATGATCCTAGCTATGTGTTCACAATATTATGAGAATGATGGGGTAACGAAGACCATCGATGAAGATGAAAGGCAAAAAACTGAAAATATGATCGCCGGCATGGCAGCTAAAGGCCTTAGATGCATAGCTTTTGCTCATAAACAAATATTTAAAGAAGAAATGCAGTACAATAAAAATGGAAAGACCCATCAAACACTGAGAGAAGATGGCTTAACCTTGCTGGGAATAGTTGCCCTTAAGGATCCATGTCGACCAGGTGCAAAGACAGGTGTGGAAATTTGCAAATCAGCTGGACTGGGCATCAAAATGATCACAGGGGACAATGTTTTCACAGCAAAAGCTATAGCCACAGAATGTGGAATACTACAGTACAATGGCCAAGCGGAAAATGATGAGGAGGTGGTAGAAGGCATACAATTTCGTAACTATACACCGGAAGAGAAAATGGAAAAGGTTGATAAGATCCGGGTAATGGCAAGGTCTTCTCCCTCAGACAAACTTTCGATGGTACAGTGTTTGAGAGCGAAAGGCCATGTGGTTGTAGTCACTGGAGACGACATCAACGATGCCCCTGCACTAAAGCAAGCTGACATAGGACTTTCGATGGGTATTCAGGGCTGCGAAATTTGTAAACAAAGCTCAGACATCGTCATATTAGATGATGCATTCATTACAGTGGCTATTGTTCTAAGGTGGGGACGATGTATTTATAATAACATCAAAACGTTTATCCAATTTCAACTCACCCTTAATATTGCCGCTCTAGTGATCAACGTTGTTGCAGGCTTTGTTCCTGGTAATAAGATTCCTCTAACAGCAGTTCAGTTGGTATGGGTGAACATCATCTTGGATACACTTGTAGCTTTGGCTCTGGCTACTGAAAGACCAACTGATGAGCTATTGAAGAGCCCTCCTCAAGGTCCTACTGAACCCATTATAACAAACATTATGTGGAGGAATCTTCTATCTCAAGCCCTATATCAGATAGCAGTCTTATTGATCTTACAATTTGTGGGCGACTCCATTTTCAAAGTGAGTCCTGAAGTGAATGGTACAATGGTGTTCAATACTTTTTTTCTTTGCCAGGTTTTCAGTTTCTTCAATGCAAGGAAGTTGGAGAAAACGAATGTTTTCAGAGGCATTCACAAGAACAAATTGTCCCTTGGACTAATGGGAGTAGCTATACTTGTTCAGTTTCTGATGGTGGAGCTCCTAAACAAGTTTGCTTCTACAGAGAGATTGAATTGGAGGCAATGGTTAACTTGTACTGCATTGGGAGCATTCGCATTGCCAATTGGTTTTATTGTGAAGTTCATACATGTTCCAGAGAAACCAGTACTCCTCATCAACTCCGATGGTGAATTGAATATCGGTTTTATAAAATTCATCAAACTACTCTTCTGTCTTGTAAAGTTGTTGTTTCTGTATGACTGTGATGCTTAGTAGTCCGCTTGTATTGATATAGCAGTGTTTTGAAGTAATGTATCCTAATGTAGTTATGTGCTTACTACTGTATTGGGGCCTTAAAGCACTTTGAAGGCCCATTTTCTTTTGTGGGCTGGAATTATGTTCAACTCACAAAAGCCTTGTTCTATGTATTTGGTCCTATTATTAGACACGGTTTTTGAGTCATGCTTTCGATATATTTTGGAACCGACAAATTTCTTTCGGAGCAGCTGCTCGGAAACAATTAGCCGATTTAGATTTGCAAATGATTCTAGATTATTCGTTGGTAGAATGTATTCCTCTTTGGGTTTGGGATTGTATTCACGCCACTTTTTCAAGTTTCATCCTATAGTTTGATTGAACTTATTTGATCAGCATGATTCTGGCTTTCTTTCTTTTTTTTTGATATCTCTTTGCTTGACATTCAACTGTTTCAGATGATTGAGTTGAAAAGGGGATTTTAACTAGAAGATTTTGTATATTATGTGCTTAATGTACTTTATACAGCGTGATTATCTATTTTATTATTCAATTCTTTTGGGATTGGATCTATAAAAAATTTCTTGGTCAAGAATGGAATTGGATATGATTTTTCCCATTTTAGTAAGTGATTTGACATTTTTATTATGATTTGAGATTTGAGCTGGACATGCTGTTAGAATCTGTGAGCTCAACTGCTAAGCGTGCAGAAGAATTTTTGACTCTCATCAATGAAAATAAAATCAATCTGGAGGCCCCCTTCCATATAAAGGATTACTTTAATGGTTTGTAATATATCTGATTTCGGAATTACAATTTATTTCCCTTTGCCTAAGATTGATTTTCTTTTCTTAATCTCTCCCTGATTTCTGCGGTATTGCAGCTCTAAATTTAAGGTGTGTTGAGCGTTTGTATGGTGATCATGGTCTTGATATGATGGGCATATTGCGCAAAAATCCAGCTCTTGCACTACCAAAGTTTAACTCGTCTGAAGCAGTAGCAAGATGAATGGACTCGGTGTCGTTCAGATTTTAACGAAGTTTGGGCTGAAATATATGCTGAAAACCGTTACAAATCACTTGATCATCGCAGTTTCTACTTAAAGCAACAAGATTCAAAGAACTTGAGCACAAAATGTAGGTTGAATTTTATAGCCAAGTTAAAGGTTCTTTTTGGTATTATGTGCTTATTCAAATATTTGCTTATACTGTTGAGTGAATTTTCTGATGTAATGCTTCACATTGTGCGGTTCAAAAATATTTCAGAGCATGGAAATATTATTATGCTGCCATGCATCGCTTTTGTGTGAAAACTCTCAATTTGAGCAACCAGATAATGATGTGATTATTGCTAATTTGTGATAGAATTACTCTGTGCCTTTCTTCTTCCTGGTTTCATAACCATAAACTGTTCAAAGTTGCTTTTTTTGAAAATCTCTGTCATGGATCCTATACTGTTGACAATATTCACTTCCCTTGGTTATGGTATGTTGCTTCATTTTTGTCAGCTTGCTTGTCAACATTTTCAACAATGGTGACATTTAATTATGATGAGGCAAACATCTATGTTTGATCAGCTTTGTTTGCGACTTACATTGTATGTTTAGAGGATAATGTCACACTGCATGAGGTTATGTGACAATTGTGCTGGAAGTATTGTTGCTTCTAGTCATTGCATTTATATGGGGTTATATCTATTAAGATTTCAGAGCAAGAAATGTTGATAGTGGTCTCTGGTTCTGACACTCATATTTGCCTTTTCCCTGGTTAACTATTATAAGATAAGTGACAATTGATTCAAAAGAGTTTTTGTGTGTATATACTTAATTAGAAGCTATAATTTCAGCTTGAATTTTATAGTGTCCACTTCAGATGCTTTTTATAAAAATAAATTTTCTGTTATGTTTTAAGTTTCTGTCTGTAGTGTTTATGCAATATTTATTGACATGTAACAGTTTCTGACTGAGAAGCATTGAAGAATGGTTCTATAACATTTAGAGCTGGCTTTAATGGAGTCTTAAGTGTCTGAAATATAGTTTACAGAGGATGCCTAGAGTTGCTTCTACGTATTGTTTCCACTTTGCTCTTTTTCTCAAAGTCCTTATTTATTTTGCAGCTTTGGTGGCTGAAATTAAGGAGTTGAAAGAGAATAAACTGGCAGAGGAAAATGTTCTTTTTGCTATTGCTGCTGGACACATATGGATACTCTGACCTCAGCATTCATGAAGATTTATATAAACTTGTTCAATATTCATATTCATGTGAAGAGATGTGCTTGACCAAGGAACGGGTGAATAAGGCAATGAAGCTATGGACTACCTTCTTCAACAAACTGAAAAAGAGCTAAGCTAACAACCCCAGAAGAGACTGTGTTGATAAACCTTACTTCTTTATCCATGAATGGCTCATCTTTCAAATCAAGCTTGGATTTAAACCCCAGAAGAGATGATGATGATGATGATCAAAGAAAGAGCAAGGTAGATGACTACAAGATCAAGTTGCCAATGCCATCATTTAGAAGATTGTTCGCGTTGAATGTACCAGAACGGAAGCAAGCAAGCTTGGGGTGTTTAAGTGCAATCTTCTTCGGTGCTGTGCAACCTTTTTATTCCTTTATCATTGGGTCTACGGTAAATGTTTCTTTCTTAAAAGATCACTGATCAGATTAAAGAGAAAACGACAAAGCTTTATGCTTGGTGTTTGATTGGGTTAGCAGTGTTCACTTCATTGGTTAATTTATGCCAACATTAGAATTTTGCTTACATGGGTGAACGCTTAACCAAGAGGATCAGAGAGAGGATGCTTTCAAAGATACTCACTTTTGAAGTTGGATGGTTTGATAAAGATGAAACATCTGGTGGGGCTATTTGCTCCCGACTAGCAAAAGATGCAAATGTGGTACGTACTAATTTAAAGTTTTAAAACTAAATATGTTATAAGAGTAGTAAGATTAATTTAACACTGAATATGGAAATTTATTTGATTTGTTGCAGGGGAGATCTTTAATGGGTAATAGTATGTCTCTCCTTGTACTAACTGTGTCCGCTGTATCCATGGCTTTCGCTTTGGGATTAGTCCTTGCATGGAGGCTTGCTTTAGTGTTAAGGAAAAGCACATGGTGTTGATTACTTACATTAATTATTGTCAATTATATATTTTTTTAGTGGATGGCTAACCAGAAATGAGTAATTTAAGGGAGGATTAGACAAAAGTATCAAGCAGTAATAGAGATTATTTTCCTTAATATTAACTAATTTAATCCAGAAATTGATATATTAATGAATCCATGAGGATTCGGGAATCACAAATTCACGTTCTATAATCAAGAATATCCGAAGGTGATCAACGTGGGTGGTTAAATTAGAAGAAACTAATTAAACAATCATTGAGCTCTCCTTGGAAGTGGAACATGTTCAATTAATGTAAAATCACACAGACCTCTGAATCTTTGACCAGTCCATATGCATGCTGAACTGTAAAATCATTTTGTAAGCCATAGCAGAAGACCTGTTTGTTTTGGTTTAATTTTGTGTGAAAATGGGAGGAGAAAGAGAAAGCAGCGAGGTGAAGAGGAAGAACGGGTCTGTACTGTCCATTTTCATGCATGCAGACGGTGTGGATATGTTGTTGATGTCTCTGGGATTCATCAGAGCTGTTTGTGATGGCTTCACTGGACCTTTAGTGGTGTTTGTGATGGGTGAAGTTATGAACAATTTTGGCACTGCGTCAACTGATAACAAAGAGTTGTTCATCCATGACATTAACAAGGTTTCATCATACTTATTGTTTAGTAATTTCTTTATTTCTTTATTTCTTTGGGACCTGGAAACATAAAACACTAACTGGATTTTCATATTGTGGTGGCAGAATTCAGTGTATATGTTGTACATAGCTTGTGGGGGATGGCTTGCTGGTTTCCTAGGTGGGTTCCAAAATTTTTATCATTTATTTCTTTAATTTATCAATACATACTTTGTTTTTCTTTCATAGATTGATGGTAGTTTCCATACGTTAATTAACTTTTGGGAAATGGTAGAGGGATATTGTTGGACAAGAACAGGTGAAAGGAAAGCCACAAGAACGAGAGCTAAATATTTGAAAAGCAGTATTAAGGCAAGATGTTGAATACTTCGATTTGCATGTCACCAGCACTGCAGCAGTCATCACTAGCGTCTCTAATGATACTCTTGTCATTCAAGATGTTATAAGTGAAAAGGTTTTCATCATCAATCTCATACTTAATGTATGAAAGAACTATTTGAAATATGTGACAAATTAACTCTCTGAATCTGTGACAGCTCCCAAAGTTTTTGGCCAATGCTGCAACATTTATCGGAAGCTATGTAGTAGGATTCTTGATGTCGTGGAGGTTAACCATTGTTATATTTCCCACTGCTCTGCTTCTGGTAATTCCTGGAATGATTTGTGGAAGAGCTGTGATGAATTTAGCAAGGAAGATGGCAGAAGAGTACAACAAGGCTGGGACAGTTGCGGAACAGGCAATCTCTTCTATAACAACTGTTTATTCATTTGTTGGTGAAACCAAAACCATCAACGAGTTCTCTTCGGCCCTTGAAAGCTTTGTCAATTTGTGGGTAAAGCAGGCTTGGCTAAAGGCTGGGCTGTTGGAAGCAACAACATCGTTTATGCTATTTGGTCTTCCATAGCTTATTACAGCAGTAGAATGGTCATGTACCATGGTGCTAAGGGAGGAACCGTCTATGCTGTGGCCTCTGCCATTGTCGTTGGTGGCTGGTAAGTATTACCTTTTGACTTAACAGAAAATACAAAAATACAATTGAAAAAACATCACACACACACACACACACACATATATATATATATATATAGATGTATGAAAAAAATATTTTTGTTGTTGATCAGGGCGTTGGGACCTGGTTTATCTCACTTAAAGTCCATATCAGAAGCAATGTCCGCGGGAGAACGTATAATGGAGGTAATAAAAAGAATTCCCAAGATTGATTCGGACAACGTGGAAGGTCAAGTTCTGGAGAATGTTTCTGGTGAAGTTGAGTTTAGACACGTAGAATTTGCATACCCGTCAAGGCCTGAAAGCATAATCTTCAAAGATCTTAACATAAAAGTTCCAGCAGGAAAGACAGTAGCCTTAGTGGGAGGCAGTGGCTCAGGGAAATCCACAGTAATTTCACTATTACAAAGGTTTTATGACCCACTTAGAGGTGAAATTCTTCTTGATGGAGTTGTTATTCATAAAATACAACTGAAATGGTTCAGGTCAAAAATGGGTTTGGTGAGCCAAGAGCCTGCACTATTTTCAACAACAATTAAAGAAAACATACTTTTTGGCAAAGAAGATGCCACAATGGAAGAGGTTATTGAAGCTGCCAAAGCTTCAAATGCTCATAATTTCATCTCTCAGTTGCCTCAGCAATATGAAACTGAGGTTAGTTTTGATTGTCGCCCACTTAATGAATTAGCCCACCATCTAAGACTTTAAAATTAGTAGTACATTTCTTGAATCTTGATATGCAAAATAGTTGAATAAAAGTAAAAAATGTTGAGCTCTTGTGCTTAAGTTATCATCATATGAACAGGTGGGAGAGAGAGGAGTTCAAATGTCTGGTGGGCAAAAACAAAGAATTGCTATTGCACGAGCAATAATCAAAGCACCTAGAATCCTTCTTTTGGATGAGGCAACAAGTGCCCTCGACTCTGAATCTGAGCGTGTGGTCCAAGAAGCCTTTGACAACGCCTCTATTGGATGCACCACTATCATCATAGCTCACTGTCTCTCCACCATCCGCTACGCCGACATGATTGCTGTCATGCAAAACGGCCATGTCATGGAAACAGGTTCACATGACGAGCTTTTGCAAGACGAAAACGGTCTTTATACTTCCCTTGTTCGTCTACAACAAACTGAAAAAAAGCAAACAACAACCCAAGAAGAGATGATGATGACAAATCTCAATTCTTCATCCATGAATGGCTCATCTTCCAGATCATACTTGGATGTTAACCTTAGAAGAGAAGATGATGATGAAAAAAGAAAAGGCAATAGAGAAGATTACAAGAACAAGGTGCCTGTGCCATCATTTAGAAGATTGTTAGCTTTGAATCTACCTGAATGGAAGCAGGCAAGCTTGGGGTGTTTAAGTGCAATCTTGTCTGGTGCGGTGCAACCTGTGGTTTCATTTACCATAGGGTCTATGGTATTGGTGTTTTTCTTGAAGGATCACAATGAGATTAAGGAGAAAACGAAGATTTATGCTTTGAGTTTGATTGGGTTAGCAGTGTTCTCTTTGTTTGTTGATTTAAGCCAACATTACAATTTTTCTTATATGGGTGAACACTTAACCAAGAGGATCAGAGAGAGAATGTTATCAAAGATACTCACTTTTAAAGTGAGATGGTTTGATCAAGATGAAAATTCCAGTGGTGCTATTTGTTCCCGATTAGCCAAAGATGCAAATGTGGTATGTATTAATTTACAGTTCCCAATTGATATTTCATATGATTAGGAAGATTTAATGTAAAATTTGAACCTCGTTGCAGGGGAGATCTTTAGTGGGTGATCGCATGTCTCTCATTGTACAAACTGTATCGGCTGTAGCCGTAGCTTTCACTATGGGTTTAGTCATTGCATGGAGGCTTGCTTTGGTGATGATAGCAGTCCAGCCCCTCATCATAGTATGCTTTTATACTAGGAAGGTTCTACTTAAAAATATGTCAAAGAAGGCCATAAAAGCGCAAGAAGAGAGCAGCAAGCTTGCTGGTGAGGCTGTTTCCAACTTGAGAACTATCACAGCCTTCTCCTCTCAAGACAAAATCCTGAAGATGCTAGGAAAGGCCCAGGAAGGACCAAGAATGGAGACTGTCGAACAGTCATGGTATTCTGGAAAAGGCCTTGCCTTCTCACAAAGCCTAACATCTTGCACTTGGGCTTTGGATTTTTGGTATGGTGGCAGACTCCTGAAAGAGGGCTACATCACTTCCGAGGGCTTTTTGCAGACCTTCATGATCCTTCTGAGCAGTGGCTATCTCATAGCTACTGCTGGAAGCATCTCCACAGATCTTGCCAGAGGCTCAGATGCTGTAAGGTTAGTCTTCGCTATATTGGAGCGGTATACAAGAATTCAGCCTGATGATTCTGAAGGCTACAAGGCTGAAAAAATAACAGGTCATATAGAACTTCAAGATGTACATTTTGCATATCCTGCTAGACCTGATGTGATGATTTTCAAAGGCTTTTCTATCAACATTGAAGCTGGGAAATCAATGGCATTGGTAGGGCAAAGTGGGTCTGGGAAATCAACGATTATTAGTTTAATCGAACGTTTTTATGATCCTTCAAAGGGTATAGTAAAAATTGATGGCCGGGATATTAGATCATACAATCTTAAATCATTGAGAAGGCAGATTGCACTCGTTAGTCAAGAGCCTACATTATTTGCTGGTACTATTAGGGAAAACATTATTTATGGTGTAGATGACAACATGGATGAGTTTGAGATAATTGAGGCAGCTAAGGCCGCCAATGCTCACGATTTCATAGCTGGATTGAACGACGGATATGACACCTGGTGTGGGGAAAGAGGAGTACAATTATCAGGGGGTCAAAAGCAACGTATTGCGCTAGCTCGAGCAATACTGAAAAAAGCTACAGTATTACTATTAGATGAAGCAACTAGTGCGCTCGATAGTCAATCAGAGAAACTAGTGCAAGATGCGCTTGAGCACATGATGATTGGAAGAACCACTGTAGTGGTAGCACATAGATTAAGTACTATACAAAATTGTGATCTCATTGCTGTATTAGACAAAGGGCAGGTCATCGAGAAAGGGAACCATCATTCTTTGTTGGCCAAAGGATCCACAGGAGCTTACCACGCGTTAGTTAACCTCCAAAGGAGACCAGATACTAATACTCATTCAACGATCAATCAAATTTAAATTTTTGTTTCCTTTTTGGGTTTACTCAGTAAGAAGATTTCAGTCTTGATTTTATGTTTGTAATAATCGGAAAAGCTTCATCTTCATCTTTAACCTTATAAAGCTTTTGGTTAGTGGATGTATTAATGGATTGATACAACTGACAAAATTTTCTTTAACTTTAAATAAATACATTATGACGGTGGTGGGTGGGCTTTTCTTGAACTTCATACGATATAAGGCTTGCTTTACAGCGAAGAGAAAATGAAAAAGAATATTTTCAGAGATTCTGGTCCTCCTTATATAATTGAAGATAAAGTAATATTACGTCCACAAATTTTTCTCGCAAATTTTTTCTCATAATCCTGACATGGCAGTTAACAATTGATCAGCTCGTATATAGATTTTGTTTGATAATTTGCGAATTGACTAATCACAAACTATTACGTCGGGATCATAAGAGAAAGTTTGTAAAAAGAGTCGGAATCATAAGAGAAAGTTTGTAAAAAGAGTCGGAATCATAAGAGAAAGTTTGTAAAAAGAGGTTATAAACGTAGTATTTTTGTTGAAGATAATCTTTTCTTTAACTTTATATAGAGTTATGAGGATGGTGGGCTTGCTTTTCTATCTAAATCATTTCCATTCGCACTGATTAAATCAACTTATCTGAACTAATTAACATGCATGTTATCATCGGAAAAGCTTCATCTTCATCTTTAACCTTATAAAGCTTTTGGTTAGTGGATGTATTAATGGATTGATACAACTGACAAAAATTTCTTTAACTTTACATAAATATATTATGACGGTGGTGGGTTGGCTTTTCTTGAGCTTTACACGATATAAGGCTTGCTTTACAACAAAGAGAGAATGAAAAAGAATATATTATGACGGTGGTGGGTCCCCCTTATATAATCCACATTTTATGATTTTATTGAGATTCATCTTTCAGCGCCTAAGCATTTTACCAAAGCAGATGGGAATCTCAGTTAAAGTGGGTCAAAAAACTTTGTGGATCATAATCTTTAAAGCAGTCAAAGCTGAATATATAATAAACCTATCCTAAACCACCTATCCTAAACCCTATGTGAGAAAATTAGTTCAACAATGACGCCCACCTTTCAAGCTCTAGAGTTTAAAAAAATAACAAAAAATCGAAGCTGTAACCCATAGGGGTGTTCGGTTCCAAGTACCCTACATTTTTTGAAGGAATCGGAACCGACGATTCCTTAAAATTTGGAACCAGAACAAGAACCGACGATTCCGATTCCTAGGTACCCAGAACCAGAACCTGTAACAACGATTCCGATTCCAGTTCTGGGTATCCTGTAAAATTACATGACCCCTCAAAAGTTTTTAAAATGGCAAAAAAAACCCTTAAAAACTTACAAATACCCCCCATCTGGCACTTGTTAACAAAAATAAAATTACAAATTATAAATTCAAAATTACTAACTCCATTACTTTATAAAGGTAGATTCTCAAAAGGCAAACAAACTTACTTTAAATGTTATGAAATATAAATATAAATGTATTCACATTACTTTTTCTACAAAAGTTTTTATTAACCCCCCTTATCTTTAATTTTATTTTATATTAGTCTCGGTTTCTGGTTCCTGGTTCTGGTTCTGGTTCCAAACTATAGGAACCGGAACCGCACAGTAACGGTTCCAAAAATTTGGAACCGGAACCTACCCATTGACGACTGGTTCTGAGTAGGAACCGGAACCAAACTCAGGGTACCCGCCGGTTCCGGTTCCAACCGGTTCTTTTGAACACCCCTAGTAACCCACCAAGATCTTTGTCGTGTTGAAAGAGTTGCAGTTAATAGCGATGGCAATACACATTTCCTATGTCAATAGGAAGATAAAAGGGTCCGTTTTGGTTCACTCTCGGTAGTATTCCCAATAAAGTTAAACATTTCCCAAAATATTATTCTATATTATTCAATTTCTTTTAAACCCTTCTAAATTTATTAATTTAGTTAAATACCCTTAAATATTTTTTTAGAAATTGCAAAAACACCCCAGTAACCCACATTTACCAGATTCTGGCTGTCCGTATTTAATGGTTGGGTTGGGGGTGTTTTTGTTAACTTTTAATATTTTATTATAACAGTGTTTAGTAAATAAACAAATATAGGGTGTATTTTTGTTAATTTTCAAATCCCACATCGTAATACCCGCCAAATTTAACTTTTTTCAAAATATTATTCTAAAAACTATCAGAATAATGAACCAAACGGACCTAAAGTGTTGTGCAGGAAATCCGAAGATGATAACCTTCTATTAGGAGTGAAGATATTTAGATTGGCTCAATTTGGAAGGAAGATATTCAAATTGATTTAGATTCCAACTAAGGTAGTCGAAGATCATGCAACTTCCTAATTTTACGTATTTGAATCTTACTTCAACTCTATCATATAAATGGATGCTATATAACCCAATGCAACTTGTTTTCATAGGGGTTGGGCAACTGTTCTAGGAAAAGATTCGGCAAGTTTGAATCTTAAGCCTACGTCCACTGTTTCTTTTATTGAATGAGAATTACAAACGATGAATTTGGGGCCTCATTAATTCTCTGTGTATGAGGCTAAAATAACACCACTCTACTTAATTAGGTTTTCCCTTTTGTCCATTTTATATTTCGGACTTACTTTTTTTTGTTTTTAGATCTATCAATAAAAATATTTGACATAAAGTAAAAGGTTTTAATGATTATGAAAATTTAGAGTTAAAGTTAGGTAAAAATTTAATATTATAGATTAAACAAATATAAAATAGAGTATGACCATATTTAAAACTTATAATATCACTTTTTATAATTTTCATTAAGGTTAAACTTATTAAAAAAAAAAAAAAAAAAAAGTTGAGCTTAAAAAAGTGTAAGATGAACCTAGAAGTTTTAAAAAATACACAAAATACGAATTGGAACTGGTAACCAAACTAGAGAAACTAGGTACCCGAAAATCTGGTTCAATTTTGAGTTATAATAAAGGAAAAACCTGGATTTTCTGTTCAGCTATGCAAAAGATCGGTTATCCAAATCGAGCCATTTTTTTGCCTAAAATTAAAATTGAAAACAACCCAACCATTCTAATAAAAAATCTCTTAAATCCAACTACCTCTTCACTTCTCTTCTACACGTATCTCCGAAACCCAAGCAAAATTAAACCAGAAAACCTAAAGATCTCTAAAATCTAGACAACCAACAATAATCAAAATGGTGAGGCACAAATCAGTTAGGATGGTGATGGATGTAAATAATGGGGCTGGAAGAAGGTGAGGTGAATATGTGAGGGGTGACCAAAATGGTGAGGGTGGGGTGGGGGAGATCAGGGTGGACGTGGGAGGTAACATCGAGGGAAACGGGTGGTGAAGAAGAAGAGAAAAAAAAAAAAAAAAAGGTGCTTTATCTTTAATTCTACAGTAGGGGTAGAATTGTAATTTTGGGATTTCAAATTTGGTTCAAAATCGGGTACTTGCTTGAATCAAACCGAACTAAAAATTCGGTTTGGTTCATAACCAGATCAGTTACAAACCAGTTCGAATTCAGTTCAGCTTATAGCCTGAATCGAATTTCCATTTTGGTTAAAAAAAAAAACCTAACCGCTTCGGGCACTCGGTTTTGAACATCCCTAAATGAGTCCACATATTTCTTTTAATAGAGAATGAAATTTCCCCCCCGAACATTTGGCCTAAAGACACTTTCTCACTGGAAAAGTTTCAAAACAACACTTTCTCACTCATCGTTAAGATTTGTTAGTAAAATTCGTTAACTGACATGGTATAAACAGTGTAAAGATGAAAATATATTCTCTCTCTTCTTCATCTCTTTTCTTCTTTCCTCTTCGCCATCTCTATTCTCCTTCTCTTTTCTTTTTCTTAACCTTTCTTATTTCTTCTCCTTTTCTCTTTTTCTCTTCCTTCTCTTTTTCTCCCCCTTCCCTTCTCCAATACCCTATATGCCTAAACTTTGGTGGCCCGATCTGGCATGAAGAGAGAAATTAAAGTCCTCAATTCAAGATTTTGATAAATTAAAGTCTGCTTCAGTTCTTTTTCCGGATTGAGAGGTTCTTGCAATCGTCTTGCAGTTTTTGGATGGTGGACGGTTTGTATTTTCCTTTTTTTCAACCAAAGAAAATTCTAAGGCTAGATTTTTAGGGGTTTTGCGTTTATGAATCTCACACTGTTTAAATGAAATATGCCAAAAAGATTTTGCCGGCAATGGCAGTTCTTTCAACCAGTTTTGACGAAATATCTAGAGAAAGAAGAAGAATCTCTAATAAAGAAGCTTCCGCCAAGGAGCTCAGGAAACCAACTTCTACGTGTATGAGGCGCTTTTCACAGAGAATAACATTGCTTTGTTCATTGAAGGTGTGAACAAACGTCAAGGATTCAACAAGCCTCCTTAAGAGTTTAGGTCTGTATTTGGTGATAATGACGCTAACATTTTAGGCCATGAAACCACCTCTCAATTTTAGTGCTTTAGTCCACGAAATCACAAAAGAGTGTGAGAAAAACTTTCCCACTACTAGTTATGAAGCTGCATCTACTATCTTACCTACTCTAAGAGGCTAGTTCAATATGCTAAAATGAGGAACTTATTGCCCTTGTGTGCTTATGTATGAGCATCCATTACAGTTGTGGAGGAAAGGATTGACAACATGATGAAGTATGTGATTCCTTAATGGAGTTTGATTTCATGTAATACCTGCAAAAATGATTGTGTGAAGGTATACGAAATGAGAAGCAGAAGTTGAAGACACTGTTGAAGAGTGTTAGAAAGATCAATTCGACCACAAATCTATGGAAATCAGCAATCAGAAGATGGAGTATATAATGTTGATTGGGCATTGGATCAATGATAATTGGAAGTTGAATAGACAAGTCCTCAATTTGTTCATTTTCCTCCTCCTCGTAACAGTGTCGACATTTCTGATGCCATTTCAAGTGCCTGATTGATTGAAAATTGAAGTACGGTCCACACGATCTCATTGACTATGCTACAAGCAATGATGTTGCAATTAAAGTCCTCAGGAAAATTTCCAAGTTACGGGAAGCTCATTTGTAGGGGCAAATTGTTTCATGCGAGATGTTGTACACCTCTTGAACCTGGTTGTTCAAGATTGTCTTTATCAAATCAGACATATCATTGACGACATCTATGATAGTGTCATATATCAATGCCTCAAAGAGTCAACTTAAGG